ATTACTCCATGCGTCCCTCTCTCGCACCTTCCTTCCTGCTTAATTGGAGTTTTCCCTCCTGCTTGCAGTCACCTCTGGGCGGAAGTAGTCATTCACAAGCTGGATATACCAGAAAACAATAAAGCTGCCTTATCTCTGATCTCTAAAAGAAGTGATTTACAAGTGCCGCAACCAAGGAAGGTAGCAGGGATAGGTGACTTACAGTTTGAGGTTCGGCTGCAGGGGGGTAGGGGTGGGTAGCGCTCTGCTCATTAACCCCAGGATTTTCATTTATCCTATTTGGAGTAATTTACCCCTGTTCTCCAACCACTGGTTTAAAAGATGTGGGTTTAACGTGTGAGTTTAAAATGTGTTTTACACTCCAAAGTCTCTCCCCCCCATTGTCTTCTCTCTCTCTCTCCTCTCTCTTTTTGTGCTTAAAAGCACAAACCTTTGTCTGAGAGGTCTGTGTGCCCCAGTGATGACCTTCTTTATGTCCTCTTTTCCCCATTGTTCCCTCCCTCCCTCCTTTCCTGCCCTTTTTTAAACCTAAGTCATCTTAGGTTTTAAAAAAGTCTCCCCCTAGTGGTAGTGGATGGATTAACCACTTTTCCATTAGTTCCTATGGGAACGAATGGTTCGACTGCGACTGGCACCTTGAGATACCACCAAAAAATGGCCAGAATTTTCAACGCATTCCTATGGGAAATGGTGCTTTGATTTATGACCATTTCAAGGTACGACCATCTTCTGGAACGGATTAAGCTCGTAAGTCGAGGCACCACTGTATATGGATGATTTTCTGCACTTCAACCTGTGTTCATTGGCTAAATATGCTTTGCTGTGTTAGGCTGCAGAGAAAACACCAATGAAGAGCCACAAGCACATAACTTCCTCATTCGGTCTATGATAACTGATAACAAGCTGATGTTTACATTTACTGTATCAGTTTTGAAAATGTTTAGATTTTTTTTCTTATCGGAAAAATATATATATAACGTGAATTGATTAGAGTGATTAGATTGCACAAGGCCTGCCCTTCTTGGGCCCTTGTCCAAATCTCACCCTGTGGAACATACACTGATGATGCACCATTGTTGGACTATTGGAGGAAAGCTAATCTATACAAACGTGTAGCTTCTGATGGATCACAATGGTGCCTGTTGTACCTGTAAAGATAAAATAAGCTGGACATGTTACAGATTAAGAACGGGAGAAAGAGAACTGGAAGGAGACAATACCTGTATGAACTGCTCAAATTTCCGGATATATGCTTTTAGCTGGACCTCTTTTGCACCAAGTTCCTCCCACCGGTTATTCAGGGATTCCATCCTAGTCTTAAATGCCTGAAGGGTTCATAGAGGGAAGAGAATAACTAGTTATTTAATTGCAGTAACTTTCTTCTTCTACAGGGAGTGGGAAGATTGTGTAACTACTATTTACTGACTATTTGGTTAATTTGATTTGATTTGCAGCCTACTTTTCTCCCATGACTACACTTGATCTTAGCCAAAAGGCCAAGGAGCCTTTTCTCCCATGACTAGTAGCCCAGCTAACTCTGAAATGGTGACATCCACTACTGAGCAGATGGGATTTGCTTTCCCATTATCCCTGCTTGAATATCCCTTTCAGAAAGTTCCTTCAAGGAGAGCTGAAGGGGCCACTTTCTTGGATCTGGGTGTGTTGGTTGGATGTGGGTACCTCTGACTGTCAGTATTAAGATTGTGGAGTGTGTATTGAATAGATACTGAGTAGGTGTGGTAGCTGGATGAGATGCAAGCTGCCCTGGAAATAAGGTGGAATTGGTCATCTGGGATCCAAGGACAGTCAAACAGGATATCTCCCGAAGTTGGAGAATCTCACCTCCTTTTGAGCCTCCATGGCCTGATGCACCAGTTTGGCCTCTTTTTTCTTCTCCAGCAACCGGATGGAAGGAGATGGGGACTGCTCCTCTGATACTGGGAACTTCCTAATCAAAAAGGACAATAATTTTCCCACAAAGAGATCTTATCAGATGACATAATCCATAAGCCACATACGTTTTGTACTCCTCATGCACCTTTGATTGGAAGGGATATGTTGGCATAATATCTTATTCATCCCAAGATACTTGGAAGGTGAGCTTCTCATTCACCCAGAAAATAGGCCAGGTTGTGATCTCTCTGGACATTATCATAACATTGGGCAGTTAAGAATATGGAGGTGAACTCAGTTTTAGGCTCAACAGATGAAGTGAGCTTGGAAGAAGGAGATGAAAGATTTATCATAGAAGAAAAGGAGATAAATGTTGTCAAGGGAACAGAAGACAGGTAAAGAAACATCCCAGGAGACAGAGCTAATCCATTAGCCATGGAGCCAATGACAGAAGAAGGGTTCATTTCCAAAAGTAAAACTGAGTTTTGACACCCAAGATCTGATGGTTGGTGATGCATCTTGTTTAACCTATTTCAGAACAGTGAAAATCACTATGAAAATCAAGCTATCAAATGTCAGATTTATGCTGGCAGGGAAATAACCTAATTACCTTTTTAATATGAGGAAATGGAATACCTTTAAATATACAGGGATTAATCAAAAGCTAGGTTTATTTCAAGAACATTGGAGGTTTTTTTTTAAAAAAAAAACCCTTGTGAGAGGGGTTTAAAATGGTTCAAAGGATGTGAACATTAATGTATGAAATGGTTTAGAAAGACTGCAAATATTTAGAAAGACTGCAGACATTAACAAATCTCTGAAAATATGAGTTCAGTTAAACAGCAGTGTCAACCTAGGCATGAAAGGCAAAGGGCCTTCCTTTGAAAAACAGAAGTTTCATTTAAGTAGCAAAATGAATAATGGACCTATCTCTAAAATGTTTGTTTCCTGGTAAACTGATAAAAATGGATCTTTAATCATGCTTCTGAAAACAGTGCTGGAGTAGAGTCAGTATGTTTTCTGGAAAGGAAGGGCTCTAAGATTGTCAACAAACATGTAGACAATAGTGATTCAATAACTGTTTTACACTCAGTCATCCAAAAAGTGCTTAACCAAGCCCTTCATGAAAGGTTCTTAAGAGCCTAATGACAAGTAACATAGAAATCTAGGTATACTGTATTTTGCAATTGTTTGAAGAGTAAAAATAGCACCGTGTGTGCTGGGGTGTGTATATTGGGAGACATTTAGACTGAAAAGCCAGATGTGTGAGGGTGTTCACCTTCTTTCTCACTCCTGCTGTTCTTCACATACAAGACAGAACCTGGAAAAGATGCTTTTCTGGATTGCCACTCCCAGAGTTGAAAGAAGATCCAGACTGAAGAAAAGGGAAGCAGGAAAGGAAGGAAGATGGAACACAGAACAGCTAAGAGTTAAGAGTGTGCCTTGGCGCAGTGGTCCCCAACCAGGGGCCGTCAGATGTTCTTGGACTTCAACTCCCAGAAATCCTGGCCAGCAGAAGTGGTGGTGAAGGCTTCTGGGAGTTGTACTCCAAGATCATCTGGAGGCTCAAGGTTGGGGACCACTGCCTTGGAGGAAGAAAGAAGAGCATACAGCACAAGGAGTAAAGTGGGAGGAGCAGGAGTTTAACTCACATCAGCAGTTTCAGCAACTTCTCTCCATACTGCATACGAAAATATTCACTCAGGTCCTCTTCACCCATGGTGGTCATGATGCTAGCTGACCTGCTAGGCCCCAGACCTTTTAAGCCCGACCCTGTGCACAGAACAGAACCTGCACTTTACAATCCTGCCCCCCTCTCTGCCTTGTCCACCTCACTGTGGCTTGTGAGGAAGCAAGCAAACAAACAAAAGAACAGCTGCCTGAGAGCCTGTTGCAGTTGGGGCTACAGAATCTTGGGATGTAGACATGGAAGATGCAGAAGGGTTACTTAGCAACCACAGGGCTGTTCTGCCCCAGGAACTGCGAGAGGAAGATACCATTTCCTTCCTAGGTGACAGAGCACAGTACATCTCACCACCACTGTCATTATTTTCCTTTAAAAGCATTGTCCTCATGAGAGAAGCTATGAGAAGCTAGCCACCTTTATTCATGTGCTCTTATTGATTTGTGGAGAATGGTGTGACTAGTGCTGGATTTCTGAGCAAAGGACCAGGGACTTGTAGCCTGACAGGGAGCAGAAGGTATGCCAATAGCTGACTCCACCAGAGCTGACATTTCTCACAAACTATATTAAAATATACTATATGCTAGATTTTTTTTTGCAACAGAATTATCTTCATCCTTAGGTAAGCATGTCTGGCATCATTTTCTTCCTTAATTATTATTTCTTTTGTACCAAACTTCCTATCACGCTGTGCTCTCTTGCCCCCCCCCGCCCCCACTCACTCATTCACACACTTCTCTTAACATTGGGCCCTTGTTTTAGGTGATGTGGTCTGGGGGGGTCCAAATTGTGTCAGCATCTCCCATTCCAATCAAGTGATCCCCAGCTACTTCTTCACTGACGGCTCCCACAGAAGAAACATCCACCACACTTTCAGGACCATTTATATGCACAGCTTGATAAAATAAATGGCCAGCCAGTGGCTGTACAATATTTTACTAGGTATTGATTCCTGGCTCTGGGAGCTGTGTAGCATTTTATCTTCTCTTATATATTCTGACAGCATACTTAGTATGACTAGACAAAAAAAAAACATGAATATCATACTGGGGATGAAGGAAAGAACCAAAATGGAACTGAGATTACCAATATCACCTTTTTCATTGTTCCTCTTAGTAGATTTCTGTTGATTCATTTGATTAAGTGGATGGGAACAAATTAGGCAATGTGAAGGCAAAATTAATCTCCTGATCCCTTTTAGAAGGAACTTTCATAGACAATCTGGTTCATTACCATTGAATATTGGCATGCACTTGATATAATCTCTTAACTTTTCCTGTTTTACAGCTAATCTACACCTTTAGATTACAACCTTGAATTTATCACTGTGATCCTGCAAAGCTTTTTTTCAGCTACATGCTTTCCTTTTTGAAGCGAGGAAGATCCCTGGCCCTATGAAAGTTGCTCCCACAACTGAGAACATAACATTGGGGGGGGGGGAGAAATAGCAATGTTTCATGCACTAGCATTGAGTATCCATGGGAAGATGTTTGCAGCCTAAAATGATTGTTCTTTGCCACTAATTTTATTGGTGCTGCTGCTTAAGTGTGCTGCTTATACACTGCCTCATAATGCTTAAAGCACTTTCTGGAGAGTTTACAATTTAGTTATGCAGGCTACACATTGCCCCCCACCCCTGGCCCCACGAGCTGGGTACTCAATTTACCAATGTTGGAAGGATGGAGTCAGCCTTGAGCTGGTTATCTGAGCTTGTCAGGATCAAACTCAAGTTGGGAGAGAGGTTTGATGTGCAGTACTGCAGTTTACCCATGAGGCTCCCTCCTTGGTACAGTGGGGTCTTGACTTGAGAACTTAATCCGTATTGGAAGGCGGTTCTCAAGTCAAAAAGTTCTCAGGTCAAATCTGCATTTCCCATAGGAATGCATTGAGAACCATTTGATCCGTAGCTGCTCTTTTCCGTCCATAGAAACTAATGGGAAGCTGCTATTCCGCCTTCGACCACTAGAGGGGGATATTTTGTTTCTTTTTTTCTTAGGTCAAGAAAGGTTCAGAGAAGGCAGGGAAAATACAGTCCAGGCAGTGCAGTACCAGGCAGTCCGAAGACTGTCTCCCAATCCACTCTCTAAACACTGGGAGGAGTGAGGAAGCAGACAGGCACCCTTTACACTGGCCAACAGTTAACTGAAAGTTCACATTTTGCACTTTCCCTGCCTCCCACGTGGGTTTTTTTCAGTTCTTAACTCAAATCTAAGTACTTAAGTCAAGTCAATATTTTCCTATGAGAGCGGTTCTTAAGTCAAAATGTTCTTAACTCGAGCCGTTCTTAAGTCAAGACCCCACTGTAGATTGATAGTTTTTCCCACCTCAGGCATTAGGGTCAGCCCCTTCTACCTGTTTATAAGGGATTCTTTTTTTTTTCTGGCTATCTTCTTCTTCCCTGACCTGACTAAGAAGGAGTCGTGCAGGGGCTCCTATGTGCTGGAGATTCCATCTTTACCTTTTTTTTTCTTTTCCTTTTGACCATAACTACAGATTGTAACTGTGGGTAAAGTTACTTCTTCTGCTTAAACGTGCATCTAGTCCCATTTTAGCTGATTGTGTCATTGGGACAAAATATGCAGATAAAGGTAGAAATGAATATCTGTGACTGTTCCCCTGGCCAAAAATATTAAAATATAACATAATAAAACCATGGATCCAGATATTCTATACTTTAATTTTCCTATCTCTATGGCACATCTGCTCCTACATCTCAGTGAGCTGTTGGTGTCTGCTGTGATGTGCTTGTAGAGGTGTGTTCAAAAAGAGCTGCCAAGGGATTTCAGGGGATTCCACTTTTGCTGAGGGAAGGTTTGGAAGATGGCTTATTTACATTAGAATGGCCCATAGTATTATGGAGGGTGGATGAAGAGGTGAAGCATGGGCCTTCCTTTGATTCCCCTGATGTCCAAATTCTGATGATCTGTGGTAAGGGCAAAGATAACACTATCTTGTGAGAACAGGGATTTTGTTTAAATGTGAACTTCTCTATGAAACAAAATTAGTATCTATGTGAGATCAGTAACAGAAGTTAAAAATAGGACTTAAAGCCAGTTTGTGTTGGAGAGAGGGGGCTGAGGTAATCTTTTCAGAGATGTGATTTCAGAGATAAAAGGAAACCTACACTTACATCCTGAAGATCAAACACCAAACAAATCACATTAAGATGTGAGAGGAATTCTTGCAGTGACACTCAGATATCTGCATTATTTAAGATTGGGTGTCCAGAAATCTATGTGGACATGAGCACAGGACCCATTAGAGTACACATTCTGGAACATCACTCAAGGACTAGGAATTGGGTCCTTCAGACTCCCCTGCTGGCTCATTATGCTGAGAAAAATCATTCACATGAGGACTTGAAATATTGTGCCATTTATAGACGCAAACCACATCCAGCAGAGTAAATGTACAAAAAAAAATTAGAGAAAAAAGAATGTGTTTTGTAGCCCCAGAAGGTATGAATTTGAGTTTAGATTTGTCATCATATATTTAAGGCAAAATTCTTTTAAGTCAGACGAAAGAATGTCAGCTGCAAACCATTAGCAAGGAATTTAAGCTGACTTAGTTTGTTACACAGATTGAGAACCCTTTTCCAACCAAGAGAATTTGGAAGGGCTTTGCCATGCTGTAAAGGATTGAAGTGTATTTCAGAAAAGGACATGGTGCATGTACTATTATATTTTTTTTTGAACCAAATTTTCTGGTCTGAAAATGTTTTTAGTTAGGTGAAATAACAGCTTTGGCTTTGTATTACAGTTCCAACAGGAAGATTTAACAAATTTGAGAAGAAAGATCGTGAAATGGGCACATATGCTGTAAGGTGTATCAGAAACGTGAGCCTCGTCAAAACATAAGCTATCAGTGCTTTTGGAGATATCTGGAAATTTGTGTAAATGATGGATTTGTGAATTATATGAACTGTGGAGAACTGAAACATAATTATCAGTGCCTGTGGAAATATTTAGAAAACAATTTTGTAAATAGGAATTATACGAATTCTGGGAAATTGTGTTGTGGTTGATTACAACCCTTTATGATTATACTACAATAAGAAGTGTAAACTGTAACAAAAGTTGAATGGTAAGAGCCTTTGTCTTAGAATTCTATGTGTTTTGTTAGGTAAAATCAGAGCATATATATATATATGTCTGTTTCCAGTGCGAGTAGTGAGAAAACAAATGTAAAGGAAATGCATGAGTGGGAACTTAAGAAGCAAAGAATTGTGTGTTTATACATGGAGTTTTTCATATTCGTAAATATTTGTAAATTTCCTTGCCATGGCTCCTGTATTGTGTAAATATGTCAGAGGTTGGGCAGTATCTTTATTTTGGATCACTAAAAAGTTATAAGACAAGCTTTCAGTTTCTTCAGAAATCTGCATTTGGCAAAGATGGCATAACACTTGGACCAAAGGCAGGTTGTGTAAATATTAGAGCAGATATAATGCCCTTGCTTTATGAAGCCAGATTTATGCCATGCATCTAAGAGTTATGTGTGATCTCAGAACAGGCAGTTTAGGGGCTCCCAAACACTTATCCAGCATGTTACATTTTGAGTCAGACAATGGCAAGGGCCATTTCCCCCCCCCTCCCGATTTGGGCCTGCTAAAGGGATGCACTCTCTTTTTTATTACTTTTTTTATTTAACTATAACATAAACATAAAATACATAAACCAAAATACAAATCAACTGTGGTCCCCACCACCATAATCGGGACCTCTTGCAATAGTCTTCTTCTTCCTCCATCTATATTCTTCTTCTTCTATTATTGTCCTCTTCTCCAGAACTGCATTGATTCTTGATTTGGAGCTTTCCCTTTTCCTCTTGCTAACACATATTCCAAAAATCTGTGCATATATCATAAAAATTATTCTTTTTCAACTCTCCTTTCTTAATTTAATGTATAGCTATATTCCATATTTCATTATACCATTCATCCATTTGAAATTCAGATTTTGATTTCCATTGCCTAGCTATTATTAATAGCTGCTGTTAATAAATTGATCATCAATTCTTTAGTCATCTTATCATATTCCACATTCTCAAATATTGATAACAAAGCTATCTCAGGATTAAATTCTATCTTTTTCACATACGTCATTTAATTCTTTAAAGATTAGTTCTCAAAATCTTTGTACTTTTTCACATTCCCACCACATATGAAAGTATGTACCAATTTCCTTCTCACATTTCCAACAGACTTTCAGATAACTAGCATTAATTTTATTT